CGCCGGCACACGCTGGATGGACGCACGCCGGCCGGGCCACCGCGCCGGGCACACGCCCGGTCACGCCGGCCGGTCCACACGCCTCCCCCGTCCCGCCCGCCGTCCCCGCAGTCCCTCCGCTGTCCGCCTCGCCATTGCCCGGCTCGCGGGGCCTCCCTCAAGGAGAATGTAAAGCAGGGTTTGCTCATTAATCGTTCCCCTCTCTTCCAGTTCCCGGGCTGGGTTGGGGCGGCCGAGAGGGACCTAGCCTCTCTCCTGCCCAGCCTTGAGAGCAGAGCGCTTCCAGTCGCCTAATTTCCACGGCCTGCGACTCTGGACTTGGAAGGGAAGGAATAATGGATCCTGATGACCATGAAGGAAACACTTCACTCCAACACCGCTGGTGGGCACTGGGTGGCTGGGCATCCGGATTAAGGAGGTGCGTTGAGGTGTTGGTAGGACGATGGACGAGCCCTTATTTAGATTTACCAGTTGAGAGGGGACCGAGGTGGGAAATCATCTAGGGTCTTTTGTTCCGCCTGCCGCTTCCTTTATTCCTTTCCTGCCAACATGTTTGTTTATTGAGCATCTACTATCCTCCCAATAGACAAGATGCTTGACCTCAAGCCTATGAAATTTTAATAGTTCTATTTCTTCATCCTCGGGCTAGGGATGATATGTGTTCTGGTCTTGCTCTCTGGATCATCAGCAAGAAGCTTTATAGCCGCAATCATCAGAGCTGTGGTGTGTGCCTGATGTGTTTTGTACTCCTGGCTTCTTAAAAGTCCTGGGAGGAGGACATGGGTGTGACCAGAAAGTCCTTCACGTCCTGAATTCCGAATGGCATGATAACTATTGTAAGCTCATGCCTTCTGTTTCTTTTGTGCTATGGTCACAATTCTGTGCCTCACCCATAGTTCAGTGTTTCTGTTCACCATGGGATGTGTGATAATCATGTTTTGCATCTGTATCCAGACTCCCTCCTTGGGCAACCTGAGAATCCTCAGTTCTGGGAGAGCTCACACTATCGATGCCAAACATAGTGCAGAAAAACGCGGGGACATAGCACTCTGCAGCCCAGCATTCCTGATCTCAGTCACCACCCCTTGCCTTGCCTGCCTGTCATCTGGGCCCAGGGCTTCCAGGCATTGCCCTATGCTTCTGCCACTTGGGGGGGTGGGTTCTTTAAGAGCAACCCAGGAACACCTGACCCAGCAGATCCCCTAATAATAACCACAATAATAATAGTTAATGCTTATGGAGTGCTTCTCATATGCCAGGAAATTATCTTAATTAACCTTGATGAGATAAGAACTAATATTGTCCCAATTTTACAGTTGAGGTAAACTGGAGCTGACTTGTGCCCAGGACTTTCCAAATAGTAAAAAAATGTCAAAAATAGTTATCTCTGATGCCAGTGCTCATTCTTAACCACTCTGATGGTCTCCTTCCTCATAAGTAGGGATACTTCATGGTCTACAAGGCCATACCTTAGTAGGACCTTCCCTAGGGCTTGATTTTAGCGGGACCTACGGTAGAAATTATGGGAACCGTGGTACCCAAAGGACAATGAAACCTCAGGTATCATCCTCTGTTCCCCTCCAGGCAGTTATCCTGGTGCCCAGCTCCTCTGGGCCCTGAAAACCAAGGTTTGTATGTGGCACAGACAGGGCAATGGGCTATCAGCATAGATTGTCTGCAACTGGGGTGGCGTGGAGGGGAAAGGAAGACAAGATCGCACCCATTCCCTTCCCATTGGCCAGACTGATTGTATACTACCTACGTTTGCCACATACTTGGTATGTGTTGTCTGCTTTAATCCTCCTAACAAAGCCCATCTTACAGATGAGGAAAAGGAATCTCAGCAGCTTGAAAGGAATTTGTCTGAGGTCATCACACAGCTAAGACAGAGCCAGGATTCAAATTCATCAGTTGACTGTAGAGCCCATGCTCTACCTTGTCCACAGCAAATGAAGAGAAGGAAAGTATTGAACCATCTCAGAAATGGAAGTGCCACCTCAGAATAAACACCAGAGCGCTCTTCGACCTCATTCAGTTAAAAATTTTCATTTGTATTCTGATGCCTACCAGTTAAGGACTCAGACCAAGACTTTTTGTTGAACTTGTTTTAAGTAGAGAAAGATGAAATGATCTATCATCTGTTTTAAATTTAGAACTGAGAACTTAAAACTATGCAGTAAATACCATATATAATAGAAAATATGCAGTTCATAATCATTGGCTATAAAAGTAGAGAGGTAGGAGATTCGGAAAGAACAGAGAGAAAAAGAGAATGACAGACAAAGGAAGATAGAGCGACAGTGTCCCAGATCTGCTAATATAAAGAAAGGTAAAGGGCCAGCCCTGGTGGCCTAGTGGTTAAGTTCGGCATGCTCTGCTTCAGTGGCCTGGGTCCAGTTCCCTGGGTGCGGACCTATAGCACTTGTCTGTCAGTGGCCATGCTGGGTGGTGGCTCACATACAAAAAGAGGAAAATTGGCAGTGGATATTAGCTCAGGGCAAATCTTCCTCAGCAAAAAAAAAAAAAAAAAGGTAAAAATAAGCACAAGAAGATAATATGGAGGCAGACAATAAACACATGAAAACACATCCAGAAAATCAGAGTTGGACACACAGAGAGACAGTCTTTGATGGAACAACACCTCATCTTATGGCCTTTAGAATATTAATGCTAAAAATTTTAAGCTCTACTGGAGGTTTTATAACTCTAGGATTATTAATGATGTGACCCCTTGGTGTTTTTCTCATTAATTTAAGCAGTGTATCTGACCTGCACACTCGTGATTCTCTACCCTGTTCAGTATCTCCAGTTTTCTCTGCAGTTAGTAGCAACCAGAATGTTTTTCCATTTACTACCACCTTTCCCATGGGGTTCTCACAGGTCTCATCTTGAATTAGTTAATTCTAAAGAATTAAACCTATATTCAAGTTCACTGTGCTGGTATTATTCGACATTTATAGTTTAACCGTTGCACTATAGACCACAATCTAGTATTCTAGCCTCTAATAAGTAATATGTGCTGGGGATGCATTAGTCTTCAATCCATTACCCGCTGCACTTTTGGAGAGTCAGTGTCCTATAAAACCTAAAGAGTTTGGTGCCCAGCTGGTTTACAGGTTGCCCCAACCCTTAGGACCATCTGAGTTCTCTAAGCCATTTCTTACTGTTAGCTCAAATTCCATTAAAAGTAGCTGACAGAATTCTGAATTTTATATGGGCCTTCCTATTTCTCTCCTTTTTTTGTGGGGGTAGGGAGAAAAAAGAATCACTTTATTGTTTTTATAAAAGTGCTACATGGAGACTTTCAGTTTGGGCAATAAGGCAGACTAGATAGGTCCTGCTAAAGAAAGAATTGTTATTGCATTGCTAGGCTCCCAGGGACACCTCCCTTTCTCCCTCCAAACAAACCAGCCATTAAAAAACAGGAGTGAAAACACGAGAGTTGGAAGCAGTAGAGTCACCAGGATAAAGAACTCCAAGGGGCATCGTTTACATCGCGTTCTATGTAAATGGTACCTTGTGGAGCTGTGCAATGTAGTTTCCCTGTACACACTCCAGAAAGATTACCCTGAAAACAAATGACTATATCTGAGTTGTCTATCACAAGGGGCCATTTTTGAAGGAAAGCACCCTAAAGTAGGCCCAGAAATTTCCTACTGATTAAATCAACCGTGATTTAACTCACAGAGATCATGCAAGGAAACTGTATGGGCTTTTAGTCTGCTAACATTCAGCAGCATTTTCACACTTCTTTGCTATCCTCTGCATTGCAAGGGGCTGCAAGCCTGACAACTACATTTCCTAAACTCCCCTGTCAGCTGGTTTTTGGGTACATTCTATCAACAGAAGAAGACAGAGATGAGAAGGGAGAGGAGGAGAGACGCTCCTTTTCTCTTTTTGCTTAGGTGCTGGCAATGGCAGGCACCTGCTGATTGCTGCAGGCTGCTGCAATAGCACCACAGTTGGATCAGTGGTGGGGAATGTTGGGTCCCCAAAGTATCAGCAGCAAATTCAGCAATTTCAAAGGGACTGTGGGCTCTTGCAGCATGAGGGGAGGGCAGGCTGTAGGCTTCCTGTGAAGTCGTGGCAGTAATTAGTGACATTGGTGCTGGCGCAGCATCAGCAGCATTGTACTCATGGGGTCTGCATGAAACCACTTAACTTTTTGCTCCTCCAACCTTAGGAGAAAGAGCAGCTTGATGATTTTCAGTCTACCAAACATCAAGGAGAAAGTAATCCCAATCTCAGATGAAGTAGTCCAGAGTGTAGAAAAAAGGGACTATCCCCCAACTAATTTATTAGGTTCACATAACCTAGATATAAATATCTGATTAGAACAGTCTGAGAAAAGCAAATTATAATGACTAATATAACTTCTTAACATAGATTCTAAAATATTAGCAATGTATAGAAAGGACAATCCATCATGGTCTAATTGATTTATCCCTGGAATACAAGGTTGGTTTAACATAAAAAATCAATTAATATAATTTGCCACATTAGGATAATAAATGAGAAAAATAATGTGATTATTTCAATTTTTATAGAAATATTTTAATTGTTTATTATGTTCAATATCAATTTGAGTTATGAATAAAGATAGTATGATTATATATGTATATAATTTTAAAAAAAATCTATGCATAAGTGATTAGAATTAACAG